CTTTATTTATTTAATCACTTTCACCAGAGTGTGGTGAGGGTCGCACAACAGAGCGAGGCTCCAAATTAAGTGCGCCCTATATCCCACCCATCCCACCCCAGGGGAGGACATCCATCACACAGTAATCTCGTGTGTGGGAAATTAACGTCTCCTACCCCAACCCTGCAGGAGACGGGACCTCCATTTATTCGTCCCTATCCGAGAAGACTAGAATATCTAACCATTTCTTGATGTTATAGAAAGGTAGCAAATTCTTCTCAATTATTTTAAGACCCTGAGTGTTGGTCCGTTCGGGGCTCGAACCCTCGACCTCCCGCGCAACAGACCAGCGCTCCATCCATTGAGCTAACCAGGAGGCGGTATTGAATTTAAATATTGGTGAATCGGCGTCGACATAATAGTCCTCAACCCCGAGTATAGTCAAAAGTAACTTATGAATTTTCCTTTTAAATGCTCTTTTTGTCAGCTTACGCAAGTCAGGGTTTATCGCGGAAAAGAAATTCGTTGATTACCATTGAAATTGAATATTAAGTAGAAAGACACATGACTATGTTGCAACGTGAACCTTTTAACGTATAAGAATAGCCTCGATATTTCGCAATCAGTTACCAAAGTCCGTAGTGTGTTTACTGAACCAAGTAAAGAGAAAGACGTGATATTTTGTAATAATAGCTTAAATTAGGTGCGTTAAATCATTGTGAACTCGTACACGTGATTCCTGAAAAATTACTGCCTCGTCTGGCAGAAAACGTCTGTAAGCGTAGGATTGCTAGATAGTTCGTCTGATCGTAAACGAGATTGTAGTTAGATCGTTGGATTGTAAAAACCGTAGAAATAGAAAAGTATACAGCCCTCTAGATTGTTGAGTGTACCAGCGTGCGGGGCCGCAAGAAATCCCCGACAGTTTAGACAGTTCCATAACCTCGTACCAAACGCAGAGAAAGACTTAAATTTCACATGCAAGTTAGATTTCCGTACATAAAATTGCCTATAATCTGGGACAAAACTCGTTTATTGACAGCAGATAAAGGCGTATTCTTTGCATTTTCTTCTCAATATATAAGACATTGTATTTTCATTTCTTCTTAACGTCCTCCAAAATATACCACAAGCTATGGTGGACATCATGTTGGAAGAAGTCGTAAGTGATGACGCAGGAATAATGGCAGCTGAAGGCTTTTGAAAAATTTCGCAGCATATACCTTTCTTAGGCTTAAAACTCACTAAATGGTCCTCAATGCAACCCTTTGCCTCTATTTTAAGTTATACTTTGAGAGATATTTCTTTTGCTGTGCAAAAAGCTTGGAAGACGTTTTTTGTTTTCCGCGATGAGCGATTGTCTCGGTATTTGGCTAAGATATTTCTTTCTGCTGTGACTGAAGTTAAAAAGTGTATAAGATACCTCAGGTCCGTCTGACTAACAAGGGACATCGATCAGATACCGACAAAATGTCACCCTCTTTCTTGTCTTGTCAAGAAAGATTCAGTTTGCCTAACGGACATTTATCACAAACATTCATCTATATAGTGGTTAGCCTTGTTATATACCTACCTTAATATCCAAGTTTCTTGACGACACACAATGAGACTGATTAGCGTAATGATTTACATCGAGAATGCGCAATTATATCACGAAATTCATCCTGAAATTTGCCCCTAGTGTTAGGAAGGCGACTGAAGTTACGCCCCGATTGAGTCCTTCTATTGTTTTTGAGGAAGAGAAAATGTGGCGTAATGTGCCTTAGAAAGGGAATTTTCTATTTTTTACAACTGAAACTCTTGAGTAATTTCTCCTGATTTATCCCTTACTCCGGGATATTTCGAGACCATTACGAGATGTCGATTTCACAATAAACCTTACGCAAGGAGAGAATTTAATTGTAAATTTTACTTATTTCATGGTTAGTTGATCAAACACTTCCGTATCCCTTAAATCAACATTGCTCATCCTTTCCTGATAAAATGGCGGCTGTAAAAATGCGCTGAATTCTCTCCAGAATCGTTATTTTTTTACATCAAAACAACTTTCAGCTATATATTTCTTTGTAGCAACTTATAATGTTTGCCCCGCGCGTGGCGATTCCAGAACCTTTTGCGCATAACAGAGGGACCCGGTTATTAGCAAATTACATGTTCATTCCCACCTGATACTTAACAATTATTTCACGAGCGCGCGTTAGATATGAAATGATAGGTAGCCAACGAGGCACTTAGCGCCGAGTTGGCTATAATCATCTCATATCCAACAAGCGCGAGTGGAATAATTGTTTTATTAAAAAACGCCCCCAAGATATTAGAACAATCTTCTTGACTTTATTTTGTAATAAGAAACCGGATGTTACAATGTACAGATATTAGATTAAGGTATATTGGCTCATATATCATAATGGCTAAGCCAAAGAAAAGTCTTAAATTGCATTATCCAATGATCCAGTTTTTAATAATCTGAAATATGACCTTGAGAGCAAACAGACAGAAACCCAAAGAAAAAATTATTTTAAAACCTTTCAATCTTAGCATAGGTTTAAAAAAAAAGCTATTTAGAAACCAAAACTTTATTTCAAAAGTAAAAACCAAACGTTTTCGACACTAGGTCATCAAGGGTAAATAAGCACCGTCTGCTAAATTTACATATTTCATATCCTGAAGTAATTCCCGATGGGAAAAGTTGAAACTAGGCTTCAAGTGATTAAGCAGTATCATTAATATATAGATATAGCAAAGCCTAAAAGCAGAGTTCCAGATAGTTTATTTTCCAGCATTTATTTTATTAAAGATCCTTGACGCTGCCCGTCGAAGAGGTTATTCAAGGAATTTAAGGGCCAGTTCGAGTGAGGGAAGGGGAACGGGAGAATTGGTGGGGTCTGGGGCCAAGGGAGGATCTTCTCACAACTTGCAAAACGATCAATTCGCATGTTAGTCAGCGGTATTTTCAAGCAGCCGAAGAACGTCGTCAATGTTCCTGAATTTTTTTAACGGATTTTTTGGAGGATAGGGAATGTGTTCTTCTTCAGATGTAGTGTATGAGGTCAGTATCCGTTGAAATTATATTCTATTGAGTGTGAATGATAATTTTAGAGTACAAATTAGCGATATTAAAACATGACGTTTCGGAGAAGACATGTCACCATTATCAAATGCAAATTATGGTCAGTTCAGTAACGTTATATAAGAAGAAAGTGTGAAAATACGTATTGATGAGGCGAAAATAAACAAAAAGAATGAATATAATTGAAAGAAAAATAAAAATTTTTAAATAAATAGTTCGCTGGTATGGAGTCTTTTTGAGTGTTAAGAGTCAGTCTCTTTTTCTTTATGAAAAGCATCTCGTAAATAAGGCACTCAAACTTTCCGCGACATTTCTTTAAGATGGTAAATTGCTCATGAAGATTTTTCGATGTTGGATTTTGTTCGTCCTTGAGATGTTTATCTATTACGGAATATTTGTGCTCTTCAATGCGTAGGTGGAGGTGACGGCTCGTGTAGTCTATATAACTCGAATCACATGAATAACATTGAAATTCATACACAACACATTGTTTGTTAACCAGTGAGGGCTTTGTTTCCGTGACCTTCAAATCTTTAGAGATTTTCCTACTTGTGAAAACTGGTTGTAATACACGATCGAGTTTCTTTCCAAGGTCGCTTACTTGCCTACGCACGGAGTCGGCGGATTTCTGATCTTTAAAAGGCAAGGAGCAGCGCTAATCTATTAAAAATTAATGTTAAGAGTGATTGAACCAAGTCACGAAGGTGGGCACCTGACAAACGCAACATGTTACCAGAATTTGGATACTTTATACCAAGCGGTGGGCGAAACAGATCAAGCAAAAGACTTCTATGAGCGTGCACTGGAGATTCTTCTGAAAAAGCTGGGAGCTGAACATGTTAATGTTGTAGCCTCTTACCATAGTCAGGGAAGTTTACGCAGTGACCTGGGTGAAACAGGTCAGGCAAAAGAGTACTATAATTGTGCACTGGAGATTCGTCTGAAAAAGCTGGGAGCTGAACATGTGGGTGTTGCAGCCTCTTACGACAATCTGGGTAGTTTACACAGTGCGCTGGGCGAAATAGATCAAGAAAAAGAGTACCACCACCGTGCACTGGAAATTTATTTGAAAAAGCTGGGAGCTGAAAATGTTCATGTTGCAACCTCTTACAATAATCTGAGTAGTTTGCACATTGCGCTGGGCGAAACAGCTCAAGAAAAGGAGTAATATAATCGTGCACTGGAGACTCGTCTGAAAAAGCTGGGGGCTGAACGTGTTGATGTTGTACGCACATTCTTACTATTTAACTTGGGTTGTGTGTTCAATGAAGTTGGAGAATTTGAAGAGGCCCAGTATTGTCTGGATCGTGCACTGATAATATATATCTCTTAGTATGGCCAAGGTCATGTTAGCGAACTAAAGCTTAGGAGGAAGTTATCTCAACTACAAAAGAAAGGAAGAGAGTCGAGGATCATGAAGCTGTTTTGAAAAGGAAAAAAATATTCACGTGTTGATAGTCTTGTAACTGTGCTGATATATAGTCGATGAAGACCTTTAATTTAATTGTACACGTTGCTGTCTCACTGTTCGTGAGAATTTTGTACCGTTTAAATATGTTCATTATATTTGGTATAACTTGAGCTTTTTCTATCCTGATATGCAAACTCTCGTGGTCGGACATAGGCTTTTCTTTATGTCTGTCTCAATTTTAGAGATTCCCTTGCTTGCAATTCTACAGATACTAAACCGTGAGAATATGTACGCAGCATAAAATGGTATATAAATCGCCATTCGATGCCGCTTCTTCTAAATTATGATTTTTGATTGATTGGCTTGTATACACATCACTCTCTTCTTATTAGCAAGTATAGTGATAATGCAAAAGGTGGCCTGGTGGTTTAGTAATGCTTCATATGTAATGCAACTTAAACCGACACAGGCTGCTCTTGTACGAAGGGCAGTATAAGTGACAAGGTTTCCAAATGAATAGTCCGGGACTCAATTGCACTGTAATTCTCAGTTTGTTAAGTTTAGAAGAATTATAATCGACTACGAGAATTCTCGTAATATAACGTTAGAATTTGAAATTACGATGAAATGGAGACCTCAAACACTTTATCTGTTATATTGTTTGACGTCGCGCTTGAGTTACGTACAGAGCGTATGAAGAACTTCCCTTATTTCGGGATGACTGAATCCAGTAAGTAGTTTATTTCGATTCGGCGCATTTAAGTTTACCGATATTAAGAATAATGTCTGACCATATGTACCTAAGCCTTTGTCAGAGTTTAAATATCTCGTATGTAATTCAACGGCCTAACACTACTAGATATCTCATTCAAATACACGAACATGTTTTCGCACCAAATAGATGCCTGTGTGGTTGCTGTCCTTCGATTTTGCTTTTGAAGCGTGCAGTGACGCCTATCCTTCCTGTCCCTCCCCATCCATAGTATCTAAGCATGATTTTTTTTTCGTCTCTTGGGGAGGCCCGTTATCTTCTTTATTGTGATTCAGGGTGAAACCCGAAGAGAGTACCAAAACTAAGAGGTGACCCCAAAGGGGTTTCCCTGACGCTTGTTTAATTTTCTCTCCC